AGAGGGGAACTGAGCGCTCACAGTTGGTTTGTCATTTAAAATAAGTGATTGTTCTAAGACAGAGGATGAATTAATTTACCTGCTATACAGGAAGATCAGGAGAAGAAAAGACAGACTGAAAGGGGTTGAATGTGGCTTGGCCTGTTATATCAGAGGGTTCTGTTGTGTCCCAGTTTTCAGCACAATGTTTGCAAACAGCTACATCTGTTAGGTCAGATTGACAAATATCTATACAGTAAACTAATATACTATATACACACTAGTGTTCAAAAGTGTTATTAAGATTTGGTAAGATGTTTTTTGAAAGAGGTCTCTTTTTTTAACCATGGTCACATTTATTTGATCAAAATATTGTGAATATTATTACTATTTTAAAATAACTTTTTTCTATTTTAATATATTTTAAAATATAATTTATTCCTATGATGGCAGCGCTGAATTTTGATTGAGTGATAAGATACAGAAAGACAGATGAAAGAGCGATAGTGTTACAATACAACTGAAGAATCAGAGATACAATCTCTTTTAGATTTAACCTCATATCCCATAGGTATTTACTCTGGCCTAGAAAATAAATAATATAAACCTTGCATTAGAAACACTCTAAAAAGTGAAGACATGTTCAAAGAAATTTTTTTTTAATTGAATGAGAGAATTCGATTAGACCTGTTAAACTGTAGCATCTAATTTGATCATTATAATAATAATTAGATTAGATTTTGATTAAGATTGATCAGATCAATTGATAAGTACATAAAACAAATGTATTTATACATTTAATTTTTAGACATTATCTATAGATTTGCTTTATATATAAAATGCATGATCTATAAATCAATACAAATTTAAATACATATACATGTTCTCCATACTTATTTTTTACTTACAAAATTGTAAGAATGATTTATTTGATTTCACTTGTTGTCATGGTTTCAGTTCAGGGCTGCGTTCAGCCCCGACAAAACGTTTTTTTTAAACGGAAACAGTGGTGCTTTGAACAACTAGTTGCAACTATGGCAGCTGAGAAGGCCATTCTTTGTGTTCTTTCTGAAGAATTTTCGGAGCCTGATGAAATCGGTATAAATACGTGTTTAATACTGCAAAATATGCTCGATGTTACAGTCACTGCCCTTGCTGTCCAGAATAAAAGAGAGCATCCCAATCGAGTGAAGGGATTTGTGGAAACTGTGGTTCCTAATTATTGTGATCCAACATTTGCCTCGCATTTCAGGATGAAAAGACAAACATGTCAGGTGAAGGATAATCCACTTCTTACCTCCGAGACTGTTATGATCTATATGGCCTTATTATTTTTATTGTGAGTATTAGGCTTATCATTATTGCTGATCACTGTTGTTGTGCTATGTTATTGTAATATTTACCATTATATAATCAGAGGAATATAGAAAAGTTTATGAAAGTGTCACTCCACAATACAATAGCAAAATATATAAATATGTATAGTATTATTATGTTACATTAATCAATGTCTAGCACACCTTCCTAAGGAAAGGATATGGACCAGAAGACATTGCAATTACTAAATGATATTTAGACAGACTTAAAGAAGTTCCAGATCTATACTTGTGCTCTTATTATTTCAGTTATTTTGCCTTTAATGTAAATAATCATGCAAACTATATACTTGCTCTTGTGAATTTATTTTGATGTTAAGTACATTGTGCGAGCTGTCTCTTTAATACCGCGTGGATTATATACATGTTGCTGCTGATTGGGCTGACATTTTTGACACCAAACAGGAGAAAACGTATCTCAAACCCCGTTGCACACCGTTGCACACCGTTTCCAGGAAACATGTCATTCAAACCGGAAACCGTAGCAAAACGTTGCGCACCGGTTTGAGCTTGAACTTGCCCCAGTTTGGACTTTGTTTTCGTTTGCACCATTCCCCTGTCTGCATTTGTCACTATGGGTACTGATTTGATTTGCTATCATGTTCAGCTGTGTCACCTCGTTAGCCTGTGTATTTAAGTTCCTGTGTTTTCAGTTCTTTTGGTCTGGTCTCGTCAATGGTTTTTAACTGTTGCATCAATGTTTACCTGTGTGTTGGATTAAAGACTTTCTAAACTTTCATCTTCATGTATTTGTTTACACAGTTAGCATGACAGAAGACTGGACCACTACAACTTGACTATGCGGCTAAATTCGCTGCTGTGGCTCAAATGAGCCACAATTTATTAGACTATTTTGAAGGGTTTTGTCATCTCACCATCAACACACCGTTTAACGACGAGACCCTGAAATCACTGTTCTGGATCGGGGCGAATTACCATCATCCCGTAGACCTCCCAGACACCACAGGACTTGACTGGAAGGAGGCCATCATTAGGTGTTTGGAGAGCATCTTTCCCCGATCCAGTGCATCGCCAGTCCCAGAGCCCTGCTGCACGGAGCGTCTGTCTGAGCCCACCGCGACTGAAAAGCCAGTGCGAGAAGAAGCAACTGAGCCTGCCATCGTCCTGGAGCCTGAGGCGATTGACCAGGTGTGAGCTGGCAACACTGCAAGTGCCTGAGAGTGTATTAGTGGAGTACGAAGGGATGGAAAGAAGCCCCGCCCATACTCCCGCTGCTGAGGGTGAGCTACAACTGGCCTCTAGAAGCATTTTGGATAATGTAGAAGTGGATAATTTCATGTATTGCCTTGCATGATTTGTCTTCCCGCTGGTTCTGTCCAGCCTTGATTCTCCTAACTCTCCCGTGTTCCCTCCCAGCCTTCCTCCCCCGCCTCCTGTATATATCTGCCAGTTCTGCTGCCCTGTCTCCGCTGGTTCCTGTAAGCCCCTCAGCCCCCCCTTAGTCAGCATCATCCTGGAGCCTTGTCTCACTTCGGGGCTTCCAGTCTCCAGCTCTGCCCTGTCTCCACCTCCGGCCTCCGAGTCCTGGACTCTACCTTAGCCCTTCGACCCATCGGCTTCACCTTGGCTCCTAGCTCCCTCATCTCCACCATGGCCCATCGCCCCTCCGGCTCCGCCTTGGTCAGTCGACGACCTTCCTTCGCTATGGGATTCCACTCCTCCAGCTTTGCCTCGTCTCTCCATCCCTCTAGCTCTGTCGGGGCTCCTCCTTGGTCCTCAGTCGCTCCGGCTCCGCTGCAGTCTTCCGGATCCCTGCTTCCACCTCAGTCGCAGGAGCCGTCAACTCCGCCTTGGCCCTCCTGACCCACAGTGTCACCCTGGCTCTTCGGCTCTCCGTCTCTGCCCTGGGTGGCTCCTCCATTGGCGTTGTCTCTGTCAGTCGGCCCCCTGGTGTCATCAGCCTTAACAACTCCATGGCTCCTCACTCCGTCGACTCCACCGTTGGCCTCAGTCCTGGCTGGACTCTGGAGTGCCACCTGGCCCCTCCGGCTCCGGGATTCTCCTTGGCTCCTCCCATCTACACCACCTTGGTTGCTCCGGTCATCACCTTTCCCGGATTCCCGTCCTCCACCGAAGCCTCCATCCATCTGCTGGCGTGACGTTGCACCTTTCCGGGTAGGGGTGGGGGCATACTGTCACGGTTTCAGTTCAGTTTGGACTGTTTTTGTTTGCACCATTCCCCTGTCTGCATTTGTCACTATGGTTACTGATTTGATTTGCTATCATGTTCAGCTGTGTCACATTGTTAGAATGTTTATTTAATTCCTGTGTTTTCAATTCTTGTCTGTTACTTCAGTGTTGAGTTAATGTTTACCTGTGTGTTGGATTTAAAGACTTTCTAAACCTTCATCTTTGTGCTTTTTGTTTACACAGTTAGCATAACACTGTGATAATTGAGATGACTCCCCATTTAAATGAACAAAATGGTAGTGGAACAAACACTTGTCTTGTTTAATGTAGGTACAGTCAGTGTAGTGACTTATAGTTCATATAATCAAACTGTATAGCTTCTGGTCGTGTCATTGTATTGCACCATCCCAACCATGTGGATTTTTTTTAATATTCAAAAATGTACAATATCCTGAATTGCAGTTTAGGGAAGTGATTTCAAACAAGATGCCTGAGCTATTGGCAAGCTGCATACATATTGGAATCTAAGCACCAGACATAATGTACAAATGATACAGTAGCAGGGACAGTAATGACAAAAGGCTTGTCTTTTCCAGGTCTCCTAAAAACAAACCCTGAAGACCTTCTCTGCTCTTTCACTTTTATCTCCTCTCTCCATTTCCTCTTGTCTCTCTAGAGTCCTGCTCTTCATTCACTGCTTCAGTCCAGTCAGCATGTTGATAAGTTTTTACAAGCACACCGGAGTGTAAGGCCACACATGTCTTTTGGATTGTTTATATATGTTTGTAACATCTCAATTTGATAATGGTTTTGCAAATAAGGCAAGAACTCACATAAAAAAACACTGTTTAAATCATTTATTAACTCAAATTTAAAATAAGCACACAGTAAAAAGTGTTTTGAGTGTTACATGTATTAATGCATGTGTGTACAGAAAAGATGAATTGATAATATTGATGTTGTTACTAGTTCATATAAAGCTTGAAAGTAAGAACAAAGAAAAAATAAATTAGAAAAAAAAGAAATATAGTTATATAATGACAGATGGTTTAGGGACAGGTTCATATTATGTTTTTTAAAATGCAGGGCTTCTTCTACTTCACAGTTGCATAAGGTGCAGTGCTATAGATGACATAAACAGGCATAAACGTTTTGGAATTGTGTTTATATTTGAATAAATAGGGGATATTAATTAATGATAAGCTGTTAAACTCTCAGTGTACTACAGTCAGATTCTAGGTTGGTTTAAATCACATTTCAGAAAAACACAAAATAAAGTGCAACTTTTTAAATCAAGAATGAGTAGAATTTTGATTTGCATAATGAACATTTGAGCCCGAAACATTAATAAAATGTCCTTGACCTGAACATTAAAACTGAAGAATACAGTTAATGTGTTTATTAAGTAAGGTATCTTCTACAAGTGTCTCTCAGCCTTTTTGCTGAACGAGACTCAAAGGTCCGAGTCGGTAAAATTATCCGAACTTCCCATCACTAGCCTATAGCAGTGACTAAGCTGCTGTGATTGAATGCGGGATGTAATTGGATTGGTTGGGTCATATTGAAGGGGTGGGGCATGTTGGCCATGTGGCTGAAGGTGGATGCTTTCTCATGCACACAACTGTCAAATTGCTGAAAATGTTCTCCTCTCCTCTTCTTAGGTTTGCCTGACATTTTCCTATTGCGTGTCTGTATCCCATCTTTCTTCATAGTAAGTGGACGGTTCACCTGAATGCACAAACAGATATAAACACTGTAAGCCATTTATATAATAATTATTGTATTTAATGTTTTAAATAGTAGGAGGATGGACTGCAAGCATATTCAACATAAAAAAAAATGTTATGATCATTTTTAATGCAAACAATGGATACATTATGGAGACCCCTTACAAGTGGAAATTCAACATGTATGTAAGCAGAAATGTTATTCTGTCATTCATTTTGGTATGATATATAGGAAGTGTTACGGTAAGGCTAGACATAAACATTTACTCACATTGTGTAGTTTGTAGTATAGACCACAGGCATTACAGACAGGTTCTCCATTGGCATTACGTCTCCAAAGTGTGGTGGTCCCTGTCTGGCAGTTGGCACAACAGGTGCCTGCTCGTCTAGATGCTGACTGCAACATAAAAAAACACATAAAAATAAATATGAAAACACGTGGTTGATGGGAAGTAACTGAGCAATAAGGAAAAAATCAAGCTTGTGAATGAAAATATGGTTCAACAGGAAAGAAAAGAAAAAAAATCCAAATTAGCGAAGCCTGAAGCTATGCAAAATTTGTTCGCTCTGGCATTAATGGTGAAATTACAGTTCTGATGCTGTAAAAGTTTATAATATTTGTCTAATGAAATATTGACATTAAAAAAAGATTTTCTGTCTGTGAAATTATACATATGATATTATAAAAGAACATTTAAGATTTATATATATATATATATATATATATATATAT